GGGGTGGGGGTATTGCACGGGGAAAAGGGAGTGCATTGGGGAAAGGGGGTGCATGGGGGGGGATAAGGTTGCATTGGGCTGGGATTGGGGAAATGGGTGGGGTAGAGACTGCCCCACAAACTGGTTCTGTTTTTTTGCAAAAAGAAATTTACCAATCCCCACCAGCACCTCCAGTTTGCTTGAGATTATTGCACCCTGGTTTTGCACCCAGGAGAAAATTTCAGGGGGTGAAGAAAGATAAAAGGGGGGAGATAAGGGAAGCACCGACTTGGTTCAAGTGTTCCTGGAGCAGCTCTGGCTGGAAAAAGCCTCCAGCCCCTGCTGCCGTCCAGCCTGGGAGCCTCCGGGACCCTGGGCACCAGCCCAGCGCTGGAGGGAAAGTTCCTCCCTGCGACAAGAGTGACTAACCCCGTCCTTGTGCCTGGCTTAACAAAGTGTCATCTCCCTATGCTGACATGGAAATGGCCTTTTGCTTGCATGCCTCCATCCTGCGGCTTTGTCTTGGTCATGGGAGAAATAAGAGTCCTCAAAGGGGTGCATACCTGTAGAGGGGGTGCACGCCTCTGACTGGGTGTCCTGGGTGATGGCACCTCCAAAATCTGCTAGGAGAGAGGGTCCCCAACAGCCCCGAGGAGGTCTGCGGGATGCCACGTTGGCACGGGGCGTGGGCTGGGCCCTACAAATACAAGAGAGGATGTTACCAGCTGCGCATTCCCCCCACGTTCCATCTATTTTCACCCTGGGTTATGAATTCACCGATAATCTCAGCCATCATCCAAGGATGGGCAAAATTTTTCTGTTTTGCCACCGTGGGATGCGTCACTCATCGCAGCCCAGCCAAATTTCTCACCCGTCTCTGAAGTAATGAACCTTTTTTAAGCTGAGGATGTAAGTGGTGTGGGCAGCTCGTTGCTCACAAGAGAACTACTCCTTGTATCTGTTTTCTTTCAGAATGAAAAAGGCAAACATTGACCTCACTATGAAAGAGTTTCAAGGTATCTTTAGAAATCAAAGGGAAAGAAAAAAAAAAAAAACCCTCAGATTTTAAATGTTTTCTGCACCGGATGCTGTCTGCACCTTAAAAGTGCATCAGGGGTGGTTTGGAGCCTTTTGCACAAATCTTTGCTCTTGGGTAGCTAGGATGGCTCTTTCAGCAGAAAGCTTGCTCCCAAAAGGATTTTAGGTTCCAAATTTCCTCCTTCTCTGAGGCTACCTACTTCCCACTCTGGCAAAGGGTCCCTGGTGCAACTGCGCACTCTCTTTGCTTGGGGCTATGTGCATGTTTCCTTCCATATGTAATCCCAGCGGGCCCTTCGCTTCCTGCTCTGTTCGCTTTAACCCTGAAGCTGCCCGGTTGCTGCAACTTTTCTTACCTCCTGCATGCAAGGAGCAGCCTCTGAGCTGGGTAGGAGAGGACGACCAAGGAATGCAACTCCACTGTAGCCTTGGGCATGAAGCAGCCTGTCCAGGAAAAGCTGGTTTTGGGCGTGAAGGTGGAATTTAAGCCCTGGGGATCTGCCAGCTGGAAGGTTTGCTGTGAGCAGTGCAAAATGGGGAGGGAAGGTCTGGGGACAGGGTATAGCCTGGATGAGCTACTTTTTGGAAATATATTTTGCTGCCCGTTAAGTAGAGAAGGAGTCCAAACAACTCACTGGGAGTAACCATTCACCCTTTAGACTCGTTGGTGCTCCGGAGCTTTCAGGCATGGCATTTAGGACTGCTCAGTCTGCAGATTTATTGGAGCTGGTAGCTCAGAGCCCTCTACCTAATGCATGAACTCACAACATCAACCTCAGAGCATCTACCTAATGCATGAACGTATCAGGAAGGGGCTCTTCTGGGGGAAAAGGGGGGTCCAGCACCTGCCTCTGCCCTGGTACCTCCCTGGCAGGGCTGTACAGGCAAAACTAAGTTAGACAGAGCTGACCAGACTGTGTCAAGGGGCCCTCTGACTTGGTAGAAGCACATGTGCTCCATCTAGTGTCCTGAAAGCTGAGTATTTGGGTACTGAACTGGGGTCCCCCAAGAGGACAATCCCTGCCGTACAATGTGGCCCTTGGGCAGCAGAAACATCCGGCTTTTAGCTTTTCCGGACCAAGGCAGAGGTTTGACCTGCCAATCTGGGGATAGAAATATCTGTTGCTGCCATTCCCTGTCCCCTCCTTCAATCATTTACATGAATATAAAAAGTAATATCGTGAAATTGCTTAAAAAGGAAGCTTTCATTCAAAGTGCACAGGTTCTGCGTGCCAGAGTGCAGCCTGGACTCTTGAAGATTAATTGTTGATCGGGGGACTTGGGATTGTTGCACCTCAAGTGAAGTGTTGATGAAGATCATAGAATCACAGAACGGTTTGGGTTGGAAGGGACCCTAGAGATCATCTAGTTCCAACCTCCCTGCCATGGGCAGGGACACCTCCCACTAGCCCAGGTTGCTCAAAGCTGCATCCAAGATGCTCCAGCTATCACTAGAGCCTAGGAGTGGGTTTCACTGGAAGAGCCCCTGGGGTCTCTGAATGCTCAAAGATGGGATGGAATCATGCTGATGTTGAGCTCTCCTTGCCCAGCAGGTCCTCAGAGGCGTTGGGTGCTGCTGAAGCCATGTGGATTATTCTGGTGCTTGCTCTCTGCGGCCTCGCTGCTGCCGTGCCCTCGGAGGACAGGAAGCTGAGCGACAAGGCAACAACACTGGCTGACCGCAGCACAACGTTGGCCTTCAACCTCTACCATGCCATGGCCAAAGACAAGAACATGGAGAACATCCTGCTGTCCCCTGTGGTAGTGGCCTCTTCCCTCGGCCTCGTGTCCCTCGGGGGAAAAGCCACAACGGCCTCCCAAGCCAAGGCAGTGCTCAGCGCAGACAAACTGAACGACGACTACGTCCACAGCGGGTTGTCCGAGCTCCTCAACGAGGTCAGCAACAGCACAGCCCGCAACGTCACCTGGAAGATCGGCAACCGTTTGTATGGCCCTGCCTCCATCAACTTTGCCGATGACTTTGTGAAGAACAGCAAGAAACACTACAACTATGAGCACTCCAAGATCAACTTCCGAGACAAGAGGAGCGCCCTGAAATCCATTAATGAGTGGGCAGCCCAGACCACGGACGGGAAACTCCCAGAGGTCACGAAAGATGTTGAGAAAACTGATGGGGCCCTCATTGTCAATGCCATGTTCTTCAAGCGTAAGTTCTACCTTTAGTTCTTGACACAAGTGACCCAAAACCTATCCTGAGCCAATACATAGCAGCCCAGATGGGAAGGTGAACAAATCCGGGGTCCTCTGGTAGCATGCTTTTCTCTTCTGAGCAAGTAGTGAGGAACTGTGCATGAAATGACCACCCATACCCTTTTCTTACAACCTGAATTTCCCTCTCCTGTAGCTCACTGGGATGAGAAGTTCCATCATAAGATGGTGGACAACCGTGGCTTCATGGTGACCCGTTCCTACACCGTAGGCGTTCCCATGATGCATCGTACAGGTAAGTTGCAAACCTCCTGCTCTGTGTCAAGACCAACCGGAGTTACGCTCACTGCTGCTCCGTTAATGAGTTTTCCACCAACTGCTTCCAAAATTGTTTTGCTTCATGGGCAAGAAGTGAGAGAGAAAAAAGCAGGGTGTGCTTTCTCTGCTGATTCAATCTCTCTGCTTGCAGAGAGAATCCATGTTTACTACTGGGTGCTCACCTGTTAGAAATAAATTATAGCCCATCACGCAAACAAGAGCTGCAGTTTTGAGTTGTTGCCACCTCCAATAATGCTGGGCCAGTTCCCAAAATTGTTGAAACTTGCTGGTCAGGGAGAGTCCAGGGTGAATTCGCAATAAGGTTGTGGGTAACTTTGCCTCTGTTCCACATCTCACCATTTCCTGCTTCTGCTTTCAAGGTCTCTACAATTACTATGATGATGAGACAGAGAAGCTCCAGGTGGTAGAGATGCCACTTGCTCACAAGCTCTCCAGCATGATCTTCATCATGCCAAACCACGTGGAGCCTCTGGAGAGGGTTGAGAAACTGCTGAACAGGGAGCAGCTGAAGATCTGGGCTGGCAAGATGAAGAAGAGATCGGTGGCCATCTCGCTGCCTAAAGTCATCCTGGAAGTCAGCCACGACCTTCAGGTAAAGGAGGTCCTTAAAGAAAACAGTGGGGCCTTACAGTTCCTTGGGGTGGGAGAGAAGATAGTGGGATGATGGGTTATCTGTGCCTGTCATCCTTTTTCCAGTGGTTAGACTAAAACTATAGGTAGAAAGGATTGTACTGTCCTCTATGGAAGGGTTGCTGACCTCTTTTCTCCTCCTAGAAACACTTGGCTGATCTGGGTCTGACAGAAGCCATTGACAAAACCAAGGCTGACTTGTCAAAGATTTCTGGCAAGAAAGACCTTTACCTGTCCAACGTCTTCCACGCCGCTGCTCTTGAATGGGACACAGATGGGAACCCCTATGATGCTGACATCTACGGCCGAGAGGAGATGAGGAACCCCAAGCTCTTCTATGCTGATCATCCCTTCATCTTCGTGATCAAAGACACTAAAACCAACTCCATTCTCTTCATCGGCAGGCTCGTGAGGCCCAAAGGGGACAAGATGCGTGATGAGTTGTAGTTAGGTTTGGTTGTTTGGTTTTTTTTTTTTTTTCCCCAGAGCTTTGGTTTGTGTGGTTTTTAGTGGGCGATTTCAAAAAAAAAGGGGAAACACTATTTTGTATCCTTCTCGAACTATGGGTGCTATTCAGACCAGGGTGCATTATGATGAGAAACCAGCATACACTTTACCTCACCCCAAAATAGTTATTGCACAAACCCACCTCCGAAGAGGAACAGGGGAGCCTGGCACAAGAGGGTCACAGGGAGTGGAAGGGAACTGGCACGCACTGTCTCAGCAACTGGCATCCTCAGCTGAGATGTTCCGGCTGATGCTGAGCTCCTCCCTGTGCTAGAGTTAAGCCTCCTGCTAAGTACCTTGCTGCTACCATCAGCCCTGCAAAAGCCCTCCACCCTTTCCATCTCAAATGCTTCTCCACATTTCGCTCTGTCACTCACTTTTCTCCCTCTCCCGAGGCTATGCAGCACCACCCCAGAGCTGCTCTGATCCCTTTGTAGTTGTTCTTTGTTTCTCTCTTCAGTGGTATAACCCCGGAGGGGTTCAAGGCCAGGCTGGATGAGGCTTTGAGCAACCTGGGCTAGTGGGAGGTGTCCCTGCCTGTGGAACTAGATGATGTTTAAGGTCTCTTCCAGCCCAAACCATTCAGTGATTGAGCACGAAGGGCCAGTTCTGCAGTCCAGCCCCCTCTATGGCCCTGGGAGCAGAGCAAGACCGTGACAGCACGTAAGAACAGAGATTGTGTGGAGTTGTGCCCTTCTCTCCTGCCTAACCCTGCTCTGGTTGACTGCTAGATCCTTCAACCACAACAGGTCAACACTTCACAGAGAAGTAAGTGGCTTAGGGGGGTCAGCAGAGGCCAAAGAGCAGATGGGCTTCTAGAAAGATAAACCTGAGGTCCCTTCAGTGTTTATTCATGACAGAAATGGCTGTGCTCCACCTCTTTGGGGATCACAAAGGGCCAACATCCTATACCAGGCAGGCAGAGGAACTCCACTTCTCTTGGTGCTTCTGCATCAGCACATAGGGCTGGGAAAGACAAAGTTACACTGAGGAGGTTCTCCCAGTATGACCAGGGCTGTACCCATCAGCTCCCATAGCAGGCCAAGGGACTCCTGCTGGCTTCTCACAGGGAGGTGGATCAGGTCCACTTCCACTTTCTTTTTAAATATAAAGCTTTAAAGCTGCCATTACCTGACTTCCTAATGACCCTTTTCTGAAGCTCCTCTCTTCTGTAATACTTTCCCTTCCTGTTGGCTGACCTGGATAAGGGCATGCTGAAAAACAAATATATTTATGTAGTTATACTCGTATTTATGTCTGATCATCAGCAAGTTTCACAGCCTGCTCCAGCCTAGACTTGGACTATTCCTATCTTCTTCCTCTTTAAGGGATCTCATCAGGTTAATACTATTTAAAGAAATAACTGATGTGATCCCATGAGCATTGAAGCACGTCAGGTAAGCCTTGCTACGCACTGAGAAACAAAATTATTGAAATTATAGAAATCATCGCAGCACAATCTAAGTGACAGTTATTTGAAACCAGCAAGGACACTGCCTGCATTTCTTTTATTTCCCTGCCAAGGTGCTTGCTGTCAGGTCGCTACACAGAAGCCCAATACTGCATTTTTTTCAGACCATACACAGAACTATTTCCACTTATTTATTAAAGTTACAACTACAAATCTTTCATTAGGTGTTTTCCTACAGGCAAAAAATACAGCAGCTTGCACCCCCAACCATGCTTTCTCCAGGTTTGCAAGGTTACACAATTGCAGAAAAACTCACTTGCCCCAATTCCTATCCAATCCAGCCGGAATGGGAGATCTTGGCCTTAAACCTCTTCCCAGATCAACCCTCCCAGGTGCTTTCCCCACTGTGTTGGGAGGTAGGAGGCAATCCATGAGGATGTACCCCAAAAATGCACAGGAAGCACAGTGTGTATGCTAGACACGACCCGGTGAATTGGCGCACTGAAACCCACATGCTGTAGCACGTTGCGGAGGATGGGGAGGGTGGGGGGGGTGTAAAAGGGGTGGGCAAGGCAAAAAGACACACTGTGGGATGTGAATAATTTGCATCATGTGGATGCAGGCGTCTGATGGCTTTTGTCTGTTCTTGTACCACACAATGTCAGTTGTATAATTTTGCAATAAAACTTTTTCAATTAACCTCTTGGCAGCCGTGGTCACTTGCAGGGTTTGGGTGGAGGGAAAATACTCTTAAAAAAGCTTAGAGAGGTTCCTTGCCATCCTTAAATCCAATACACCTTTCTTTATATGGTAATTTTGGACCACAATGACTTAATACACAATTCCCATTTCAATTGAGGGAAATGGAGGAGGAAAAAAGAACTGCAAGAACCTGCACCATCGCTGTGGGCATACAGAATGTCCTGACCCGTGTCCTTCCACTGCTGGAAAGGGATTAACCTCCTGCCACCCCAAAGCAAAACTAAAGCCACAGACATCTCCCCTTTTCCCTGTGCCAAAATAGCAAAAAAATCTGGGATGGGCAGGCACACACATCCACATGGAGCTCCTCACAGACTGAAAAAGCACCTTGTGTTTGCCAGATGAGTCTTTCACTGCAGAAAATTACAGCAGCCACCTCCAGCACTAACCATGGCAGCTCAGGAATACCATCAACCTGGAAAAAGCAATATTGCAAGGAAGTTAAAAGCTTTCCAGAGTTCCTGAGCTTGTCCCACCCCAGCTTGTCTTGCAAGCAGCTTTAAATACACGTTTTTCATCCTAGGTACAATACCACTCAAACACGCTACTTGTGCATCTCTTGATTTTATGCTCGAGAACTAAACATCTCTTGATGAGTAGTCAGCACTGTGAGATTAACAGGCTGATGGACCAGGTTGGAGGGCTTCAAACTCAAAAACTGAGTGATCTCCCCCACTGGAGGACTGCAGGAGAAATTCCCAGCTGATCATCATCCGGCATATTGGGACTTTTAAGAATTTAGATACAATGTGCAAGGTCTTGCACTGTGTGCCATGCTTCTACTGCTTCAGGCCTTCCAGTTTTCACAGATTTACTGGTTCTACAAAGTGACAAAGCCGGTCTGTTACCTTTTTCGGGTATTTTTTTTTCAAAATTCAAATTCATATAAAAAGAATTAATGTTGGTATTACTTACCTTAACACTTACCACGTAATAAATTTTAAAAAAACCCAAAAACTTTCCACTGAAAGATGTGCAGAGAAACCTGAAATCAGATTCATTCTCTGACACCCTGAGAAGGCACATCTGTTTCTGACAGACTTCACGAGCTTCCCGCCCAGCACCCTGCCAGCCTGCGTTTCCAGGAGGCCTGCCAGAGAAGCTGGGAACATTCCTGTTCCCACACGACAGGCTGAGGCTCACACATCCGCACACGCTGCCAGACAGCCCAGTTTCTGACACCGTCAGTTTGGAATGCCAGTTACCCGCCTAGCTCCTGCAGAGAAGCCTCCTGAAAACAGAAATCTGAATGTAAAAGCTATTCCTAAGCAGCTAATTTTGCATATTTGTACTATTTTTGTTAATGCAACAAACAGGTTCTGAATTTCTCAAAATCGGAACAAAACAAAGCTTTGATCCTGTGCACAACATGTTCTCCTATGATGCACGTGTCTCCATTACTGCACCAGACTGAAAAACACACTGGGGAAGGAGCTGACAGAACTAGAATCTCTGAAACTTAACAATGCTCAGCCTCACTGCTTTGGCTACAGGTCTGTCTCTTGACTGCGACGGACAAGAACAGCATCAAAAGTCATTCATACAAAAATGGAACAGAAACAAAAACACATCCCTGCCTATGAACTATGCATTTCAATAGCGTAAGTAGCTTTGTCATCTATTATCAACTTCAGGATCTCCCCATGTAATCATACAGCTCATTAAAGCCAGTTATTAACACAGTGACAAATTAATGGACTGTCTACGCAAGCCCCAAAGGAAGACAAGTTTTTCCCTAATCGCTTATATGTCTTTCCATGTCAAAGCTTAGGACAGAAGGTTTGAAATCCAGAGTGTAGACTTTTTTCAACCCCTAACTAATGTGCAAATACCTCCTCACAAGCTTGTCTCATTGTGTTATTCTCCACCAACTCAGGTTACCTGACCCTAACAGCAGCTCTAATGTTCCCATTTGGGAAGTCACATAGCGACCGTCTTTTCAGTGACAAGGGGAATGGATTTACAGAGGTGAAAAAAAGCATTTAGTAGAATATAATAATTCAGTTGAAGCCAGAAACGTATAAACTACTGCAACTGCTTTGGACACTGCTAAAAAAGCTCCCCCTTCTGGAAACCTCAAGGAAAGGCACTGGTATGTAACTGAAGAGCTACCAGTCCGACTCCAGTTCATAAGGTGTTCTTCATGACCCTCTGAACACCGGATTGCTGCTCCAGCAATCCTAGAAATCAGCATTTTGTCCCCACTCTGTTTAGATCAGGATCTGGTAAGTTCACTTCAAAAGGGTAACACGAGCTGGAAGAAACGCAATGGAATTCCTTCCATACCAAAAGGTGGAAGCAAGATTTTCCTGGAATACATCTTGCAAAAAAAGCACCTCCACAAACACTGTCTTTTGTGATTTTATTAAGAGATGTTTTCAGGACAGTCAAGCTTCTGGTTGCAGATGTTACAAACCCTACAACAAAAAAAAAAACAAAAAAAAAAAACTGAGTGAGATGGTGGCAAACCATTTCCTGTAACCATTCTCCTACCCAAAATGGTGAACAAACAGGCTCCCAAGAGTTCAAATTAAACCGCATCTCTCACTTTTTAGCCAATGAACCCCTTTTTCCTCCCCCACAGGAGCAGATCTTGCTGGATTCCCTTGTTTCACTGTTACCCTGCAAACTCTCTGAACCCTCTCCCTGTTGACACAAGGCCAGCTTCAGTCAGAGAACAATGCAGCCTGGCTTTCATAAGCAGCTAAGGAAGTCATCTGGAAAGAGGCTTTAGGCCTGGTGTCTCCTTTTAAAGCAAACTTTTAAAAG